CCCCAAAACCCCAAAACCCCAAAACCCCGTAAAAGAAAATCGATAAAATTTAGGGGAAAAAACATTTCAAAATACAAAAATAAAGCTAGTTACCATTAACGCCAGTCCAGAGTATATTAAGACCATAGAATTCTTCATGTTTCCGTAAGTCACATGCAATGTGTATGCTCCATCTTTGGCTGCAGCGTAATAGAACAATGAATTTAATGGTTTTATATATGTTTTCCCAGTCCTTGAGAATATGTATTCACTTGTTAGTGTTCCATTATTAGGGTCGTATGTGTACATCTAAAATGCACTAGGAGCTGTATCAAGTTTAGTTTAGCTGTTCTCGCTTGATATTTAAATTTCTACCCACGCTTTTTATTTAGAGTCCTAATTGCTAATTGCAAATTTAATACCATCTCCATCTGAGAGTGTTTTATTGAAATACTTAACTGTTTTGTTAAAAGGGGCTATTTCTTGTACTCCTAGGTCATCTGACTTATAGCTTAAGCATGTCAATAAACCTCTTTCGCAAGATTACATATCAACAAATGTATCAGTACAAAGCCCATTTTTAGTGCAGAAGTAATTCACGGTCACATTCTGAAGGATACATGATGCACATTTATTATTGTAAGCAGTCAGATCTGCGGCTAATCCAAATGAAAGCAATAAGCACGAAATTATCAGAATTTACTATTGCATTATTTTCATATTTGTTTAAATATTATTAATGCTATATAAACTTAATGATAAAAGAAATTAAAACTGAATTTAAAAATCTTATTGAGCATAATATAGTAATCACCATGATTTTCAAATCATTCATTATCGACTGCAGAGAATTTCTCTTCATTAACTCTTCTATAAGTCTATGTACCAAGATCTCCTCCGTTGACATCTCTCAATTCAAATCTAAGTTTAGCCTATAGTTATCTGTTCTTAAGGAAGAAGTAAAGGGCAATGAATAAGAAAATCATAAAGATGCAACCCACTACTGTCAAAAGCATTCTGCCACCATGAGCTTCTCTTGCTGGCATGTTGATTGTGATAGGTTTATAAGGAATAGCTAACTGTTTATTCTCAACAATAGCAATGACATTGAAAGAAAATTCTGTGTTTGGCTCAACAGTAGCAGTAGCCTGATATAAATCTAATCCATTAAGAATGATTGAATTGACATCACTTCTTCTTTGAATTGCACAAACCTGATCTAAGTTGACATCTGGGTTCTTTGTATATACCAGTTTGTATCTGATTCCATTTAGCTATTTACTCTCTTGAGCAGCAGTCAAAAGATACAATGAATTCCAACTGAACTGGATGTCTCCTCTTTTAGTAGCTTGAGGTTGGAAATTAATATGCCCTCCATTAAATGGAATATATTCATCCTTAATAACCTTACGGAAAGAATCGATGTAATCAACCTTTATGGTAAACTCTGCTCCTATCTTTGACTTCATAGATTCATTGAAATTTTCAATCGTATGAGGAGTGACTATAAGGTAAGAATTTCCTGGTACATTCTTTAAATGAGCAATTTAGACTCCGTTTACCTTTTCAAACTCAACATTTTCAAAGGTCGTCATTGGAACACTGTAATTATTGTCTCTTTTGTTCACTTCCATTTGGGTCTTGTTCACTGTAACTAATGCTACTTTTGAGCTTCCAAGACAGTTTGAAAAGGTGATTTGAGTTGTGACCAATTTTTAAGGGGGATAAAGTGCAAAGCTCAAAAATTCATAGATATTTGATTTTAATTGGCCAAAATATTCCTCACCTTCAGCCAGCTTAATTTACATGCTCTGAGATAGAGTCACAGTTATAGTGCCTGATAAGTTAGAGGTTTTTTGCACTGTACCGTTAAGGTCATCCATATGATATAAAAATATCATGCCTAGGATATGTGTACTTTGTAAGTTTTCAAAATCAATTGTAGTTTATAAAATATACTGATCCTTATCCCACATAACTTGCTCCATTTTATTTCTGCCCCCAAACCAAGTTACCTTGTCAGAGCTTTGTAATGTATAATAGAAGGAGGGATAAAATTGAGGGGTTTTTGACTTTGCTGTAATAATAATAGTTGTATTTCCCTTAGGAATCATATATTTTAGCGATTTCATAGTATCATTAGAATCTCTGAAGAAAACATTAGTAGGAGTACCATCATAGAGATTGATGACAGAGAATTCCTAAGTCAGAGTAATTTATAGCTCTGTATTAACTTCCTTTGATTCAATGATTAGATAGTAATTCTTTTCAGGATAGATCTCAAAGTTTGGAGAGACAAGCTTAACATCAATAGATTAAGCTGTATTTTATGTGTAGAATGCAGAAAATGCGTCTTCTGTGAATCCTAGGTAGAACTTAGCATCTCCTGAAATAATATTGAAAGTAAGAGAAGCTGGGTCTTAAGATTCCAAAAGGAACTAATAAATCTTCTACTATTTCTTGCCATCAATCTTGACGATCTTGTTATCTCCGACTCTAAGTAAATTAGTGTATTCCTTTTCAGCGTCAATTGATTTAACTTCTAAGCTATAAGCAGCACTGCTGTAACGAGTGTGAACTCCAATTAGATAGTAGCAATCAAAGCAGTAGTTATTGTCACCTTGGAGAACAAGAATATCTTTACCTGTGAAGGAATTGGCTGGGTTAATATTCTCGAGAGTCCATTCACTGTTTATTTTATCGAAAGGCATTCTAGCAATGAAGTCCTAATACTTTGGATTATAAGTTGAGACAAATAAATCAGCGAATCCTTGATTGACATTGAGAGTGATTTCAACATCATGCTGTTTCCACTAGTAGTATTAGAAATAGATAGTTTAGTTCATTTCTTGAGAATGAGACAAAGGTGCTCTATCAGTAATTGTCACTACTGGCTCATACTCTGATGTAACTGAGAGCTAAAAGGTTGTATTGTATAATCCAAAAATTCCAATCACATAACTACCTTCCATTGACTTGATGTTATTTTTCTTGAAGAAAGGATCTTATAAGTTCACAGTTAACAATGAACCACTTTCCAAACTTGAAATATCATGATCTCCAAGAGATGGTTATGAGGTTCCTTTCTTGACAATCAATTTTACTGCTTCACTTGAATGACTACTCAAACTTATTATCATAGAGCAGTTTTCGCAGGTTTCTTGATATAAGAAATACTTGTACTAAGCAATTTCTACCTTTCCTATAATTGGTTGTCTATCATGTACTTCTATTATACTTTTGTGCACTCCAAAGTTAAATATTATGTTCTATTCAGTATTATCAGCAGTGGGAAGTATATAGAAAAACACTTGGCATTCGTCATCTTGACTATCAACATCTGGGTTTGCATTAGGAGCATTAAAGCATTACTAAATCTGCTCTGGAGTTACATGAATAATCTAAGAGTTGAGTCTATGCTTTCCAACATAATCCTTAAATAATATTAGATTCTAATCAGACATTCTCTAAACTCTAGAGGTCATGTATACATCACCTACTAGTGGCTGTAACACTCCGAAAACATCAGTAATATTTTGTTTCTTTACTGGAATATAGTAGGTAGAATAGGAATCATTGCTCATTAGAGTATGCTTCTATTATCCTGAATAGAGTCTCTTAGCTTATTTTGTATCATATTCTAGCTCAATTTGAGCATTACATCCATTCAAATCAGAGCAGTATATGCTAATATAAATAGCACATGGACTATCCTCAGCATATCCTAAGTCTTTGCATGATGGATTGATTTCTTTAAGAAGGTTCATTGGAACGATAAGAGCTTTGCCTCTGCCAAAGTTTTCTCCTCTTTAAAATCTAGTTGTAAAATCATGCTCTTCACTGCTTGGATATTGCTTGCTTGGATGACCACTAACAAAAATGTCCTGATGTCCCTTTGTGATCAAGTATAATCTCACATCTTAGGTGTTATCTAAGATGTAATGCTTGAGATAACTATATTGAAGAGGTTTTGTAACTACTTATTGCAAACCTTAGGAATTTAAGTGAGGAATGGCATCTTCAAGCCTCCACATTATTGAAAATGAGAATGTATTATCGAATAACAAGTCAAGTAAGTTAGGGTGTGGCATACTAGTTATAAAGTAAGAGCCGTTTCTGTGATACTTTTCATCGTAAGAGAATATTTCAATTTGTCCTGTTCCATCTAATTTGAAATCATAATCATTGTAAGCAGGCACAGCACCATATTTAACTAAGGTTCTTATTTTAGGATCAAGTTCTTAAACTTAAATCAATATTGAGTGATCTTCTTGATCATCAATTGAGACTGTGAAGTAGCTGTAGGTTCTTGATGAACTTGAATGTAAAGTTTTGGTTATTGGGATACCCTAATAGAGAAGAATTGATTGTGAATAAGCTGAACTCTCCTCATCATGTCCAGTTCTATTAACAATCACATGGATACTATAAGTTGTGTAAGTATATCCATAAATTCCAATATAGTAAGTACCGGCAAGATTTTCACCATCTAATCCCTTTGAAAATGTTACATGATCAACTAAGCTGCCTACTCTTGATGACCTCTTCAAAGCATTATCCTTGTTTGGGAAAGTAATGTTCCTAGAGGCCAGTAGATCACTGTCTCCATGAAGAGGATTAATTTCAAAAGTAACATTTGAAATTCCAAGATTTTCCTACTCCAAAATGGTGAATTTGTAATATTTGTAATTTCCCATCTCAACTGAGTCTAGCTTAGGAGTTCTTTCTTAAAGGAGAATATGATTATTTTAGTTGTGAGAAGCTTGGAGCTTATATCTAACCCAGTGGTCGTTTTGATTATGGACTGCTACAACATAATAACAATTAGTACCATTAAAAAGCTTTTAACATTAGTCCTCATCATGATCAATGACAAGCTTGAGTATTTAACCATTGCTTTGAGCCTTCTTAAAATTGGAACTTGGATTATTGATTGATTCGACTGTAGCTTATTTTTTGCACTCAGTTGTGCTGTTAATTGCACAAAACGCTACAGCCATAGTGGGTTCTGGACCTCTTTTGACCATTAAGTCGAATTCAATCTTGATATCTTCACCTGCATATTCAAGCCTAGGAACTCTATATAAATGAGTGTGCAGAGAATTAGGGAATGATCCAAACATTTCTGAATATCCATCCTCAATTATGCTATTCGTCCAATCTTGATCGAACTCTTTTGCCTTAATTGTATAGGTGCTAGTAATCTCTCCTCTGACGCAGAAGAAATATAGTCCTTTTGCTTGTTGGTACCTTCTTGATCTTTACCATGGTCTGATATCCACAATAATTTCTTAGTCCTCATCAGGCTTACCTAAGAAATCATCCCACTTTGTAGGTAAAGTTCCTGGGTTGAATCTTAATTCAACTCTTCCTGTATAGGTAGTAAGTGTGATTTGGAAGTCAGCTTATTCACTCTTAATATAGTACTGATAACATTATATCTGATCAAACCCAACTATGTCATCGATCTGGTCATTGTTGTGCACCTTTGGGACTGCATCAGAAGTCTAGACTATTATATGATAATATCCAGCATCTCTAACATCTAGAAGTATCTTTAATTCACAGCCCTTGCACCATTAATTCTTCGGGAAATTCTCCTTGTTTAATCTGATAACTTATCCCTTCTTCCAAGCTGAGATACTCTTTTTGTTTCCTAGACTTGACGAAGGGAGCTCATGGTCTTTGTCGACGTCAGTTGAGACTGATAAAGAGAAATCGTGTGCAAAGCCAGATATAGATGACGCCTTAACTGTAATATGTCCTTAATCTTAGATATCATTAGGTATGTAGAACTTGAAGATCTTAGCCTCATTCTCAGTCATGAGAGTCTAGTGAACAGCTCCATCGTCAAGCTTGAATTCGTCAGATGTAAGGAGCAGCATCTGAATTGAACATTTCGAATAAGGACAACCGATGCTAAAGTAAAAGAAGTCTCCCTCATTAATCAATGAATGGTGAATAGTGCATGTATCTCTACCGAATGAAGCGCATTTAATATCACTTCCATTTTCTGGAGAGGGGTTCTTGACAGTCTATAAAAGAGTTTATGATTGAATTCAAAATTGGATCTTACCTTTGAGATATAGATATCTGGGTCTGATTCATCTATCAATGGAATAGCTTTAATTATGATATCTAATCCAGGGCGGTAATTGTCATTTACTATCAGCTTGTAAAAGTTTTTCTTGCCAGGTTCCAAATCTAGTTTCTCGATAAAATAGCCAAGTTAGAAGTCTATTACTTCTTAGGCTTTAACGAAAAAAATAAAAGCCAGTAATAGCAAAAAGGTTAGTTTAAGTTTTGATCCCAACATAATGTATTATACTAATATTTTAACTATAAACTAGTAAAAGTACTACCTTATTAAATTTAATCGCAGTTTTACTAGCAAATGGAATAATGCTGGCTTGCGGGGTTTTGGGGTTTTGGGG